TTTGTATTAATGTTTGGTCAAAAGAATTAATATAAAGTAACTATATTAATTCAAGCTCAATATGTACTTACTCTTTTAAGTTGTTCTAAGATCTAAAGTAACGTTTAGTAAATAATAATAGGCCAATAGGTAATTGCGAGACTCTTGCTGCAAGACCAAGACCAAAACCACGACTGGGAGCGCAATACCAAGACCAAGACCAAGACCAAATGTACTGGCGCAAGACCAAGACCAAGACTTGCTAAGTCTCGTCTTGTTCTTGCATTTTGGCAACAATAGTTTTGAATACCAGTCCCTATAAGTCTGATTTGAAAATAAGTCCTTCAGTTACAATCTTCTTATTTGGGCCCATTTTTAGTCGTTATAGCGGTCAAACTGCGAACTCACTTATTATACTCATTATCAAGAAAGCCCACGTATTGTGACGGGCAACTACGGAACCCTACCTCTACATTGTGTGTGGCCCGACATGTACTTCGCCAGTTTTTATTTTTTTAGAATGAAGTGACGAACGAGCACACAGTTTAACTGATGGTAAGTGGATGCTGTGGCCCAAAGACATCTATATTTATCTTTGACTAGCGATCCCGCCGGCATTGCACGGGTGGTTTCTGGATCTTGACAACAGCGCCTCCTACCGGGTCCAAATTAATACTTTTGCTCGCCACAATTAATGCCTGGTACATGGCGAGACTAGTTACCACTAGCCTTCTAGTATCGAGTAGCAGACCTATGAAATTCAAGATCCTTCTAGAAATTTCCATGGAAGAACTTTCTAGAACTATCAACACCTAGTCGGGACCGCTCTGTACTCGAACATTCTAGATGTTTTTACAGTAGAAGCGGGTAAGGTTTCGAATCAAGTCGCTTGAATTTGGGGTGGGGGATGTGGGGAGAGGGGGAGGGGAGTTGTAGAGTTACCCCCCACTTACATTTCCTACCGGAGGTGCTTAGTTTTTTTTTATAAATTTTTAATAATCTCATTTTGAGGTTATGTTTTCGTAATGTTTTTGACAATAAAAACCTGATCTAAGTTAGGTATTTAGACAAGTGTTGTAAAATATTAGGTATTTTGGTACCATAGCTAGCTTGCGGGCCGCGCGAATTCGGCGTCCGCGCGTACATTGACCCCTAGTCAGCTGATTGTAATTCCACTGCTCGTTTTATGTTTAAGTATTTTCATGATTTATTTTTAATGAAATTATCGTTTCTTTAAGCGTCAGTAGCCTAATGGCAGGGCGCGGACTGCGAACTCGAAAGGTCGTGGGTTCGAATCCGCCTTTCGACTACTGTCGTGAACCACTTCTAACACAAGCATTTTAAGCTTACCAGAAGTGGTTTAAAGGGAATATTAGTAATGTTTAATAGCATTACAAGTATTTTTTTTAAAAATTAGCTGTACGAATATGATGGATCGTGAATAAAGCTAATAAAACGTTGTGAAAAGATGATTTTTTTTTCGTCGCGATCGATTTTATTTCTGACCCATCATCAAAGGTATCGTTAGTACTATCGTCTGTCTTCGTTTTAGGGAGCGTTTCACTAACACCCGGTATGTGTATGTATTGATACATAAATACCAATAATTTTCTATGTGTTATTATACTACAACAAGAAGATGACTTACCAACCGTAGCACAGTTAAAATCTACCGCTTGTAAATACCTTGTGTACGTTCGATAGACAGCCGGTTCTGTGAGTATGCGCCTGAGCATAACACATTTTTACTACCCGTTAATGAATGCATTGCGAGCGCTTTTTTTATATAGTAGAGGGGGCAAACGAGCATGCGGTTCACCTGATGGTGACTATTATATTATTTTAATAAATAATAAAAACTATCTGTTTGCTTCCATCCAAAAACTTGTTACTAATATAATCACAGACATACAGCACTGACTAATAAGAAGTAATAGATCAGACCTGAGATATTTTATCAAAATATTTCAAAATTAAAAAATGTAGAACTTCAAAATGTTATTTTAAATCTGCATTCAACCATTTTTCATAAAGATATTGTTTTTTTTTTTCAATTCAAGTCCGTTCCCTTACTTATTCAGAATCGTAATAGTAATTATTTATGTACTACTCTGGCATTAGAAATTCTTAAATAATTATTAAGACATTAAAAAAATTATAAGATAAAGAAGAAGATAGCAGCGAATAACCTTATTCTCGGTCTGGCGAGACTTTGGTCAAATATTTACGTACCAGACAAATTTTATTTAAAAGAGGAATAGAAAACATAAATTTTGACGTGTGACTTTTCTTTTATCTTGCAAGATTCGAATTTTCATTATTTACTGATCAAACTCAATTAAATAAAAAAATACACCTACAATTTATATGTTAATTTTGAAAAAATAAAATAAAAATATATTTAAAAAATTGGGTAAATTACAAATCACCGCTGGTTTTTTTAAGTAACACCCAGAAAATAAATAAGTATGTTTTTCTACTTATTCCGGATAACCAACCTTTTTCGATGGTCAATAATGTACTCTGTGCTAAATGGAGGTGGGCAAAGTGTATCATTTTTGGGATTGGAACATTTGCATCTTGATCACTGAAATGTTCCGAAACACTGATATGTTTCATTTGGCTCATTTGTATCATCGACTCCAAAAGATATAAAAGAAAGAATGTTCCGAATACATTAGGTTGCGTCGCGGGCGTTTATTACTGACTGATCCGTGAAATGTTATGTGGCAAAAATGCTGAATAATATAAGTGCTTAGATTATTTATTGTGTACTGTAATAAGATTGTATATAAAATCGATTCTCCTTCATACTTTAACAAAAATGTCACTATGTCAATTCATTATTTACAAAAATGTCCATTTACACAAAACAGCAATGTGTATGTACACAGAATTTACTCGTAAAGTATCATAACTCTAAACTTTATGATGAAAAGGAAGAAAGTAAATTCACAATAAACACTACGCAAAGAAATCCTAAACATAACTCAGTATGTTTTCGTAAACAGGCGCTAATGAATATAAACAATTTGACAAGTGCCGCATCAACGTAAAATGACAACTTGTTAATGCAAACGTTACATACAAAAAACGACCGTATAGTATTTGACACATAAGCGCCTTTGTGGTAATTTTAACTTGCATGAATAACGTCAGCGAAAATCCGTACTAGTTGAGCGATACACTTCTTATTTGTTATCTCTATCTGACTTGTGTGAATTATAATTATTTCGCCCGCTCACTCGCCACTCGTGACTCAATAGTTAAGTTAATCATTGTCTCTGTCTCTCTCTCTCGCTCGTGGCTCATTCGCCTCGCAAGCGACGCGTCGCGCGAAATGAGCAAAGAGCAAAGTAATGTTTCACTGTTCCAGATACAAATGATACATTTGAAACGTTGTTACTGAACCAATCTTTTGTGTCACTTCAGTGATTCGTATCAGTGAGTCGTTTCCGTAAAGAGATACACACGCCTAGTGCTAAACGTCATAAACGTGCGCCCAACGTGTGGATGCGGCGGCCAATACTCTGCCACAACCCTTTGATCTTTTGTAAAAAACCGACACCACACGGATCTCGCACCAACTTGTGGGCCATCATTCCAATACATACCAACGTAATCAGAAATACCCGCTCTACACGATGCTTTTTTAACATCTAATTTGGCATTTGCTACAAGCCCTTCAACCAAAGAGAATACACAAACACATTGTTAACATTGTTACATATTTTACAGGATATGAATTTGTTGACAGATTTAAATAGTTACGTCGCGACATTTTTGTGATTTAGACCGCAATTTAAGCCATCAGACAGCTACGACAATAGTAGTATCTCAAGTTTTAAAGGTTCCAAACCTAATAAAATAATTTGAGTTTCATATCATTATCAGAATCCTTGTTTCGTCGTTTCTACTAATAGTTCATATGTGCCGACATGATACATAAAATCTCATCAGTTTTACGAATCAAAACTTACTTCGAACTATTATTAAACATTAAAATAGGAGCAGCAATAAGCCGGTGGTCAAATATCCGCTATCTATAATAATAATCGCTTCGAAAGCTGTCCTCGAGCGCGCGCTTAAAGGTGACATCAGTAAATAATTCAATGTTAACGCTATATCGTCTTTAACAGTGCGATTAGTAAACAGTGAAAAAAGTACATTTTTAAAAGAACCTATCAAGTTGAATACCTTGTTCCGTGTAATGCGATGATAATGAATATAATCAATCAGTTTAGTATATTAAACTGTTCGAGATGGTTCTTCTAAATTCAAAATGTTGTTTTGTGATATTTCGGGCTAAATGTATTTTAATTATATGATAAATAACTATAAACTGTTAACGTTAATAACGTTTGCTACATTAATGATTTTTGTGCTAGCATTTTATGTACACGAAGAAGATGATTCGAGCCTGTATGCAGGGTGCAGAAAAACTTGTGAAATACTAAATATAAACAATATTCGAAAAAACAACTATTTCGAATCTAAATAAAGTCGAAATTTTTCTTTAAACGGCTCGACTAAATATCATCAAATATATTTCATGGAAGCAAGATTAAATAGTTATCGATTCGTTTAGTACAAAAGTAAAAGTGATCCTTTGTGATACAATACGCAAGAAAATGTGTGTATGAGACTATCAATTATTTATTCTTTAATCGTATGATACGAGAGCGTAATGAATATACGTATTATTGCTAAGAAACTGATGTTAATAAAGTTCTTACTAAACATTCTTACTACAAAATAATAAGCAATCCATAGAGTAAATTCAACTGTCCACTTTATGAACACACCATCTTTTTTATCTACTGGCAATAACGGTTATAGAATACAAACTTCTGATTGGTCGAAATAAATAACCGTTCAAAATTCAGTGCAACTGCTGCTTTCAAGTTCAAACGCTTACCGTTTGAAATCTCCTTTGTGAATTTGTCAACAATCATTTCTAACTTTGCTCTTAATATTTAACGTTTTATTTGACTATATTTGTATTTTTAAGTTAATTTATAATGACGTCGATCAAAGAAGACGAAAAGAAAGAAATACCTGAAATAATTCACGATCCTCAAACAAACAGCACTTATCAGAGATTGAGGTTCTTTGGAAAGGTGAGTTTTTTCTTACACTTTTTACGTCTGCCCTAAGTATGAAATAATTAATATTTTAAAGTATATCATTTATCTAATATTTCTTTTTACCTAACACTGTTTATTACTAGGTTTATTTTACAAGCATCTTCCTAATGAATGATGATGATTTTTATTAAAGACCTCAATTATTAACTTCGTAAAGATAATGCAACTAAAGATCGCTATAATATATCAATCAATCAGTTTCACTTCATAAATTATGATATAAATTGTATAACTATTATAACATTATAGGGTGGATTTGCAAAATGTTACGAGATCCAGGATATCGCCACCAACCAGGTGTACGCTGGAAAAATTGTATCAAAAAAGCTTATGGTAAAATCAAGTCAAAAAGAAAAAATGGCACAAGAAATCTCTATCCACCGTTCATTGCAGCACAATCATGTGGTGGGCTTCCACAGTTTCTTTGAAGACTCGCTAAACATTTATATTATACTGGAGCTGTGCAAGAGAAGGGTCTGTATAGTAGTGTCTATTATATAACTATAGATGTAATATAATAATTATATCAAGGCTAAATCTTTATTTACATTCAACACATTACCGCATTAGTGAGCGTGGAAGTGAGCAGTGCAAGTGAGGTAACACTCGCCACTCACCTGCTGCCCTGCAATACTATATTGACATAATGCATGTGAATTGTAGCAACTACATAGTAACTTATTTTAAATCCACAATCTTCTAAGGCAATGTTTTCTCTTTTGTGTATTTAAAAATGATTATTATAAAATCTTAGGAGACAGAGCACTAAAGCTATAACAATTTCAACAATCACCATTGTATATAAAATACTTACTGCCTTTGATGCTGCCACAGAAGTATTTCGTGAAGTTTTTACGACAATACAAGCAGCAGTTGAATATAAATGCAATATAAAATTTAATACCTTCAAGTATGTTTTTAAAATATTATCAATTTGTTGATAAAAGTATAATAAACATTTTTATCACAACTGTTTGTAACTATTAGTTACAAACTTAAAAGAAGACAATGATAACAGTTTCTTTTTGTGGCTAGAATTAATAGGAAATATATTAGGAAACCAAGAATTAATTACCATAGAGACTGGGACTTGTTGTAAAGTTGTCTTATTTATTAGGTTGTATAAGCACTTAGTTTTATTATTTTTTTTTTATATTTATAACTTGTAAAAGTATATTGCACTTTTATTGCAGTCAATGATGGAACTACACAAGCGTAGAAAAGCTATCTCTGAACCAGAGACACGGTTTTACATGCATCAGATTTTACTTGGAGTGCAATATCTTCACAGCAAACGCATTATTCACCGGGACCTCAAGTTGGGCAATTTATTCTTGGATGATGATCTTCATGTTAAGATTGGAGATTTTGGATTAGCAGCTAGAATAGAATTTGAAGGTATCTATAAATATAGTTATTGAACTCCATGCTATGCACAAATGACCATAGAGTAGATTGAAGTGTAAATTTAATTTCAATTATTTTAGGAGAGAGAAAGCAGACTTTATGTGGTACCCCAAACTACATTGCACCTGAGATACTGACAAAAAAGGGCCACTCTTTTGAAGTTGATATATGGAGTTTGGGATGCATTATGTACACACTGCTTGTGGGCAAGCCACCTTTTGAGACTTCCACACTTAAAGATACTTATAAGAGAATTAAGCAGTGTGAATACAGGTAGGTGATATACTTATTATTTTCTATAATTATTTACATAAGTCTGAAAGGACTTGTGATTATTTTCTCATTTAAAAAACTCCATATATACTTATCTATTTCTTAGATTATAAAGATAGTAAATTATGTATTTCAAAAAATGGTATTATTGCTATTTGTACTGAAATGAAGCACTTTTTTCAGTCAGTTTTCACTAAATATTATAATGGTATTTTAATGCAATTAAATTATTATATTATAAATTATAAAATAGGTTAATACATAGTACATACTATTGGCATATAGATGCAAATTACCTTACAAGGTTATGTAGCATTTTTCTTTTATTATAATATTATCTTCCAATAATAATAAAGCCTTTGTGTATTGTCAAATAGTGAGGGGATATACCTAGCCCTGCATGCATGTTATGCGGGCCCATGGCATTCGTTCGGTACTCGGTATGCTCAGGCGGTAGTCAACAACAATACCCTTAAGCAGCATTACAGGTGGTTATTTGCACCATATAATGGTATGCGGTAATGGAACTCATTGCAAGCTTCTGTTAATATGATGTGTTTGCCTTGTGTGAACCTCTGAGACCATATTTGTATATGTTCAGTGTTGCTAATTGTCAGTCCTTTAACCATTTCACTTTGTACTTATCTAGGAAGCCAAAGTCAATTTTATTTAAAAAAAAGTCTAATATAACAACATCATTTCTATGTTCTATTTAATGGTTTATACTCAACTGCCATGGAAAGGATAGTTGTGATAGTTGTGATCGATGTAGATTGTTGCTAACATTGTGAACTCAATCACTATTAGATTAAAGATGCCATGTCTTGTAAATTAACATCACATATAATACTACTATAATAGGGATGTCATTTTTTTAAGTGTATGTATGTATATATGTATTTGTTCCTTTATGAACTCAAAATCAAAATATTTTTATTCAAAATTGGCCTTAAAGCAAATAAACCACTTTTGAGTCTTAAAAACTATGCCATCGCTTCAACAAGTGCAAATGGCACTTAATTGATTCAATTTAACAGAAAAAAATATAGCTTAATGACAAAGCTCATAAATAAAATATTAAAATATATACATATAAATTTAAAGTTAAATTACAGCATACATGCATCCCACTGCTGGGCAAAGGCCTTACATATTATGGAGCAGTTAGTGCAATACCATGTTGGTGGATTTCACATATCCTCAAAATATTTTAGCATTATGACATGCAGATTTCCTCAATATTTTCTTCAAGGCCAAGCATGTGGTAGATCAGCACTTATAATTGCAATAAGCGTTAGCACAGATGAAGATCGGACCCAGGTTGCCCACGTACTGTGAAATTGACACCTATATTCATATATTATGATAATAAAAATAAAACTCAAATAAACTTCACTACTTACTACCAAACTTTGGTCATGGCGGTCAGTTTCAAGAGAGACTATCTGTTTGCTTAGAACAGGATTATAGCTCACAAGTTAGTGCGTAAGCACAGGTGCATTCTCTGTTCCCTCACTCTCATAATCTGATAGGAATATCCGGGGAGACATCAGGTTCAGGACCAATGGCTTTAACTACTGTCCGAGCCATGGGGATGTAATACCTCCATCTTCCTAAGTCTGGGCTGCTTCTGAAAATTTCTTGACAGTAAAACCTAGTAACAGATTTTTGCCCAATTCAGTTTTCGAAACTGGGACAACAGGGTCAGATTGAATCTCATTTAGAGATTCATCAGACCATTTCAACATCCATTTTTAAAATATGGATGACAAATAAGCAGACATTCATATGTGCTCTTTTGGCACCCTGATAGTAAGTGGATGCTGTCGACATAGACACCATAGACGCCTACACCTACCTACCTATTTCTATTTTAATAAGAAACATAAGGCAGATGCGTTATCATTCTAATGTATTGTCTTGTTACCCAGTAGATAGGGTCCTGATCTTGTCATTTACCATTTGAGATACACTGAGCTGCTATTTTACGCTTGTATTCTGTGAAAGTGTGGGTTTCTCTGCATGTGAGAGCGAGGCCAGTGACATGCCACGCGATGCTTTGCGACAGCAAAAGTTTTGTCAACAGCGCCTCGGCATTGCTTGACATCCGTGTGGCCCATGCGTCGAAATCGTAGCGGTGCGACAACGCAATAAATACACCGGTTACGCCTGTTTGACCATGGTCTACTAGAAAATTTATCTGAAAAATATACGCTAGAATTTCTTACTTAAAGCAGTGTAGGATTAAAAATGTATATGACATTGAATAAAACTACTGTTAATACTACTACGTTTTTTATCGCGTTTATAATATACCACGGCGATCACCAATTATTTTAAACAACCACCTACTATGCATATATTACAATCTTAACCAGGGTTGGCTGATTTAAATCGCTTGATTTTGATTAAAAAAATCATTGATTTAAACCAACATGTATAAATGAATGTAATAGGCAGAAAATGAAATAAAACTGGCTTAAAATAAGGTAAAATCTTTTATTGTTTTATGTCATTCTTATTATTCCACTACAATAGTCTCATAAACTTTGGAAAATCAACAAAGACATAGCAATGAGGTCAGTCAGTCTCATAAACTTAGTAAAATCAACCAAAAAATTTTTTTAGAAATTCACCCTTAAGATATGAACTGTAATTAATTAATACAGTATTAATTATTTTACTCATTCATATGTATTCATAAACTTTTAATCCTACTTTATCAAAAAGTGTTACCAACTCGTGAATTTCAAAATATACAAAAAAAATCGAAAAATTCAAAAAAATCTGCATGATTTGATTAAAATTAAAAAAATCATGATTTTTCCATCCTTGATCTTAACCTACCTATTGGTCGATGTACCTTAACAGCCTATTAAAAGTCAACTGTTGAACATAGGCCTCTACCATAGATTGCCTCATATGAGAAATATTGGCCATAGTTGCCACGCTTGGCAAACGTGTTGCCAACACTAGTTTTTTTTTTTTTGCTGTTATCAAGAAGATGCTGCCCATCCGGTTTGGCATCCCTCTGTTGCCTCTTACAACACCTACGGAATGATATTATTGACGGCTAATCGATGTAACTTATACAATAAAATTAGTGGTGGGCTAAGGTGTAGGTTATTACATAATCTAAATACGGCTAATGAAAATCATTAGAAAATCATTACATATCTGTGTGGCCTATTTGTAATAATACTTCCGAACTTAATCACTGCATCTGAATTCCAAGAAAACGATCTCTTAGAGAAATTAAATAAGCTTACGAATATAAAACTACAACAGGATCCCTTCATCGCTTCGAAAGCCCGCGGCGTCAATGATTGTGCTGCAACTACAATCGAATCCCGCCCGAAGGCCGTCAGTAGACAAATTGCTCCAACACGAGTTCTTCACCTCTGGCATAATGCCTGCCGCACTGCCCCTGTCCTGTCTCACGACCGCACCCAGAACTGATCAGTTGGAGGGAGTCGCTATACAGCGCCGGCCTCTTAACGAGGTCAACGGCAATGGTGAGTATTATAAAACAAATATAGTATGGATTTTGTTTGGATGAGCAGTGAGACATAATTATCTTTAATAGTAGGTACCACAGGTACACACTAGTTTATTCAAGCACAGAATACGCGACTCGAATCAGGTTGCGGCAGCCCTGCTATTCAATCAAAGCAGATCAATGATTTTGCAGGGGAGCCCTATATTTAACTTCGTGTCTCTCTCCTATATTCAAATCTTGGGCTAGCTCTAAATTTCAAGCTACGAGTCTGAATTCTCACCTGGTATTCCTAATACGATCTCACGGACATAAAAGATATAAAATTTTGCAAGGGAGACCGATATTCAACTTAGTATCTCTCACATATATTTAAATCCTAGGCTAGTTTTAAATTTCCAAATTACGAGTCTAATTTCTGACCTGGTATTCCAATTTGCGATCTCACAGACAGCAGATCAAAGATTTTGCAGAGGAGACCTATACTCAACTCCATGTGTCTCTCCTATATTCTTCTCCTGGGCTAGCTTTAAATTTAATATAATTAAATTTAAAATGATAATTTAATAACCGCAATCAAGAACAGAACCGACAATGCGCAATAGATCAGCCACAACACATTAAATCACAAATAGGCATTTACTTATTTTCTCAAATGTGAAATCTCTTCAAAATAATCAATGTAATTTGTTAAGTTCCAAAATTAGCCTACATTAAAGTAACAAAAATATAAAGAAACAACAATTTTCCCTTATTCTAAAATACGAATTGTGTATTTATTTTTTTAGATCACATGGTTATGGCGGTGGACTCGCCTTTAAAACGCAATGCGATCGCTACAGAACCGCGAGCTGTTGAACCAGCTTCGCACAGACAGAATCTCATCTTACTGCGCGACCAGCTCGCGTCATTACTGCATAGTAAAGTAAGTACAAGAACATTGTGTTTTTTAAAGCTTGTGTTAATTTGATCATTATATTGACTTGAAGTCCAAAATAGGAAAATAAAATTACAAGTATTTATTTTAAATGTTCTCTCGAATTCTGCTAATTTATTTTATACTGGACTAGATTCCCGTATTTCTCGTGACCGCGTTTTTTTGCAGTACCCATTTAAACAATTATTGTTCCCAATGTGAACTCCTTATGCTTTTTCCTGTATTCATCGAAAAATGAGAATTTTGGTGCATTTTATTGAAAATGTGCAATTTACGCAAAAACTTCCGCATTTTGCAATTCTCGCACGACCACACTACCAGCGTAAAATAACAGCTTAAGGCTGCTGTGTTTCTTAGGGTGAGTGTAGAGAACCGGAGACCCTTTTTACCGAAAACGAGGCATTCCATCTTAATCCTCAGGAGTGACAATGCATCTGCATTTTGATTCTCAGTCAAGGATAAATTTAGATGTCTGGGCCACAGTATCCACTTACCATCATGTGGACTGTGTACTTATCTGTCACCCTAATTCTATAAAAAAAAAAACCATTGGAATGTACTGTCTAAAAGGGAAAAGATACATGCGGCACGGGCAGCCGTCGTGTAATTTCTGAATTTAAGCAAATTTTAGTTAAAAATATGTAATTAAAAAAAATTATAACAACATTAATATATTCAGTAATAATCTTTTTTTTTCATTACGGTACTTGTGTCCCTTTTGGATCGATCGGATTTTTACATATTATTTCTTCACAAAAGTTTTTTTTTTATTGTACTTCAACGCCATCTTTTATGTTTTGCATACTATATTTGTTAAACAATTTTAACAAAAGTTATCTCTGCAATATATGATATATTGTCCATGTTTTGGAGTGCACAATCCGCATAGTCTCCAAATAGTATTCCAGTGCTTATAACACTTGCAGCATAATAAAGTCTTTAAGAATGAGGTAGTAAAACAAAATTTTGCTCTACAGCTAAAATGCCGTCCAGAATGCTTGACCGATGAACTGAGTGATCCTGCGGCTCAGCCTTTGGTATGGGTGGGGAAGTGGGTTGACTACAGCGACAAGTATGGCTTCGGCTACCAGCTTTGTGATGAGAGTGTTGGAGTCATGTTCAACGATACAACGAAGCTTATAATGCTTGCTAACGGACTGTAAGTATTTTGTAGATATTTTTATTAATAAAATTTCATCTTGTACAAGTTGCAGCACGTAAGTCTAGCTAGCGCTGAACGAAAAGCAAAGAGGACTCGCACGAATTGTATTGCACGAATGCGGCTGAAGAGCTAAATACCGCGTGCGAAAGATACGCGCGTGCCAATCAGCGCGACTTATGCACAATAAGCCAATCAGCGCGACTTATGCGCAATAACTGTCACCGCTAGACTTTCGTGCCGCTACTTATCCCTGTTTTTTTTTTTTTGAGATCGGGTGTTCCAAGTCGTCGTCGACTCCAAGGCGGTCGTCGTAATAATCGAGTCGGGCCGCGCATATGATCGTGATTTTTACAAAATAATCAAAAAAATATTGTTTTAAAGTTATAAACAAATTATTTACACAATGAGAAATAAACATACAAACAAGCTTAACTATAGTCTATATAAGTTCCATAAAATATAGTTATTTACAATTTATTATATTTTCTAAATATTATTTTCGTAGTAGAAGAGAATGGCGCGCACAAAAATTTGGTACAGGTCTTACTTTGGCAACTTTGGCAAATAATCGATAATCTAGTATATAAAATTCTCGTGTCGCAGTGTTTGTTACCAAACTCCTTCGAAACGGCTGAACCAATTTGTATGGACATTTTGTGTGCATATCAGGTAGGTCTGAGAATCGGCCAACATCTATTTTTCAAACCCCTAAATGACAAGGGTGACCCACCCCTAAATACTTTTTTTATTATGATTTAGCATTGAAAAATACATAAAACTTTAAATTCACCCTTCTACGATCGACCCCTGTTTTTTAATTGCGATTTTTCAAACTAAAAAATATTTCCTAGAAATAATGTATATGGCAAAACAACGTTTGCCAGGTCAGCTAGTTTTTTTAATAAATGTAATGAAACAAAATCGATTCCAAAATGAATTACCAAAAATTGATATTATTTATAGAAAAAAAGGAGTATTAGTACTTGTTTAAAATGAAATTTGGCTTGTAAAATAACTGCAAATCGAACGTAGTTCGGTGTTTCCACCGTGTTTTCACTAGGTACATCGTAAAGAGAAAGAATGAATCTAATTTTTTTTACAGATACTAAATGTAATAATTTGCCTATATAAAACCAAATTTAAAACGGTCAAAAACAGGAACACCCAGCCTTAACCCCCGACAAAAACAGAAGGGTGTTATATATTTGTAGTGTGTATCTGTGTGTCTGTCTGTGTATCATAGCTCCTGAACGGATGAACTGATTTTGATTAAGTTTTTTTTTGTTTGAAAGTTGGTCTTAATTGAGTGTTCTTAGCTAAATGTTTCAAAAAAATCTGTTCAGCCGTTTGAAGCTCATTGGCTCTTTTTGTTTCGGGGGTTTTTAATTTTTTTAATTAAAGCCATTATGTTCATAAATAACAAAAATTAATGATGTACAAAGTTTCACAAAGTTTGTCCATGTAGATTAACTGATAATTCATAATAATCTTTCTGCTTCATCTTCAGCAGCCTGTAAAACTCCATTGCTGGCCATGGGTCTCTCCCATTGTGGGGAGGATTTGCCTTAATCATCACACTTGGCAGGTGGTTTGACAATAGCAGTACCAAACACCTCTCGCTTTTGATGCTGCCAGTTTAGTCCAGTCAAATAAGGTCTGAAATCAAAATTTTGACACTCAACTTGATATTTTGATATAATGTAGTTTTAATGACACAAAACCAATATGTAAAAGTTTTCGTGTTCGCAACCCCCGGGAAGAGAAAGAGAAAAATTGTCACAGGTGTTTTTTTAACCGAAAACGGTAAAACTTAGACAAAAAACTTCTTATAAAATGTGTAGAGCTTAAAATTTTGCTTAAAAAAAATAATCTAAATATATTAAAAAAAAAACATTAATTTTTCAAATTGTTATATTTTCTTAACAATAAAAAAAATTCTCTAAAATTTTAATTTCTAAATTTTAAAAATTTCTTATTTTTCTATTCCCTACGAAGTTTTAAAATTTACGTTCATCCCTTAAACTTAAAATCTCCCTAACTCGGTTAATTTTGACCGGAGGAAAAAATAATTTTACCTTTTTTATGTAAAATTTTTATCTCTACACATGTTTATAAGAACTTTTTTGACTAACTTTTACTGTTTTGGAGTAATTGCGAAAAACACTTGAAATTTTTTTTAACCCTTGCCGGGGTTGCGGACACGAAAACCTTTACACATTGATTTTGTATCATTTATATATAGATTTTGATCATAAAACTACATTATATCAAAAATGCAGTGTCAAAATTTTGATTTCAGACCTTATTTGACTGGACTAAGTTACTAACTGGGTTACTGGATATTTTACATCCGACGTGAATGAGTTGGTTATACCGCCATCTATCGGTACCCCTTGACATATCCCATAGTCACCTCTTACAATGTTTTTTTTGTTTTGTTTTCAAATCTAAGTACATAAATTGAATCACAATTTGCCAAACTGTGATACGGTTCGTCAGCAGCAGTTCTAGTATAAAGTACTAATATTTAGGTACCTAAATTAGTCTTTCCTAGCAGTATTTAAGATACATATTAAAGAACAAAAAAGTGAAAAAATATAAAGAACTATGACACACATAAAGACAATTAATGTTTACTTACGATATTCTTAAAGTTATTAATACTTTTTTTTTAGATCTTGAGGTAGCTCATTAATAAATAAAGACGTTGTTTGTTTTTTTCATAATAACTTTTAACTTTAGGAAAATTACGTTTAGGACTTTTAGCTAGGCGTGTTGAGTACATATTTCCTCCGTCTTTCAATTCTTTGAAGTCGTTACCACACAGCAATATTTATTCATTTTACAGGAATGTCCACTATATTAATCGACAAGGCCAAGAGCAGTATATGACAATGCGCGAGTACCCACAAGAGCTTGACAAGAAAATGAAGCTACTCACATACTTCAGAAGATACATGACTGAGCATCTTATGAAAGCAGGTATTTACAGTCATGTCTAAATATAATCATAAATTAATGTATTTGTTATAAGTAAGGTCAAACATCAAATTGTTAATTTAACCGGTTCAGTGCGGGTGACACGCCAGGCGTGCCATCGATTACTTTTGTGTGGCGTATGACACGCGAGTCGTGTCTTTTAAAACATCGTTATAACTCGCTCAAATTGCTTTTTTGGAAAATTTATCCAGAACAAAATATTCATTATTTTGCGAGTAGTTCATGCATGCAGCTTCGTTTCTGTATATTTTGAAAATTTGAAATTTTTAGGGGTTGACAACCTTTTTTTAACGTGTACATGGTACTATTTTTACTTTGTGGGTTTTAAATCATGTTATGGAAAAATTGTCTAATAAGTAACAAATAATAGCACTCATTGCGATCGCTCACAAACTCAAGTTGTAAATAAATTTCTGGAAAACAAGTCTCCTGTTAAAAAAAAACAATGGGTTTGTCTTATTGTTTAATTTTGCTTAAATGGTTGAACTGCCGTCTTATTACTATCATATGGCCGAATAGACCTACGAAGTACCATGTGCTCTTGTGATATGGTATAAGGTTTATTTTTGCTTGAAACAGTTCGAAACCGTTCATGCATAAAAAAAGTTCGCTAATAAATAGTCTTTTGTCAATCCGCCGCCGTATAGCGCCGGTTTTTTTCTTTTCCTTTTGAAAACACTTGTTTTGCTATTCTTACTAATTAGACGTTTTTAGATCAAATTTACTTTTACATTTGTATAACATTAAATAATATTTAACATTTGTAAATATCAATAAATGATATACCTTATTTTTTTCAAATTAAGGGCTTCATTGTTTGATATTTATAAATGTTATTATTAGGTGAAAATTTAATTTATTAAAAACCAAGGTTTCCAGGGTGATTTAGCTGTACCTACTTATATAAATGATTTTTTATAACAACAAAAAAATAGTACAAAAGGTTTGTAATCTCTTCATAATAAAAGTCACTTACTCTCAATTTCAAAGAAAACACGTAAAAAAACACGTAGTTACCCACTAAAAACAAGTATCCTTCCATTTATAACTTATGTTTGATGTCAAATAAACTTAATTAGGTCTAAACAAGTAAAAAAAGCATAAAAAAGAATATTACTTTTACACATGGCGGATGGCACAGTAGGCGTGTCATGAAATATTTGTTCGCCGCCACAGCTAAAAGTTGTCGAAAATTGGCGCCGCAACGAATCGGTTAAGTAATAGATATATAATAAAGAAAAAAATTAAAAGTTACAGCCAATAACGTCCCAGACACAGACTTCCTTTCATATTTGAGGGTTTAAGGACAAGGAAGTATTCACCGCGCACAAAATTCGTGAACTTATTCCCATAAAATAATCTAATGAGTTTTGGTTTTTTTTCACACTTGCTTTTTTATGTTAATATAGGAGCGTCGGTGCCAGTAAGAGAAAGTGATGGCCTATCGCGATTACCACATCTTCACCAGTGGTTCCGTACCACATTAGCTGTAATTATGTACCTTACCAATGGGACTCTACAGGTAAATATTATTACTTATTTAAATTATTTATGTCTGTTGACTTGTTTCCATAACGTTAAGCTCTAAGTTAGTACCTATAATGTTTTCTGCCCCGTGTTGGTCTGACTTATAGGTCCCACATTTGTGCGAGTTTATAAAGAAATAGTGTGACATCTTTGTTACTTGCCTAGCATGTCGTAAAATACAACTAACGGTATAATAGGTTTGTGCTTGTGTAAGCGATGGGCTAGCCACCTATCACTTATTTCACAATTTTTCATCTAAACTCACATTTTTTTGGTAAAAGTGGTCCCAAGTTGGGTATTACAGGCGAGATGAAATGTATGTATAATTTAAAAAAGTTAAAGTTTAGCCTATATACTTGCCATTACTGGACACAGGCCTCTTATTTCTGAGAGGGATTTAGGACAAGAAAATTTCCGCCGCGCTACCCCAAAACGCTCATGTGGTAAATCAGCACTCAAAATTGCAATTATTTCATTGGTGCCGGCGGGGTTCGAACCCAGTTTGCTCTCGTACTGTGAAATTAACAGCGAGCGCTTTACCTCTGAGCTACCACCGCTAGCGCTTTACCTCTGAGCTACCACAGCTATTTTGAAACAAAGATCGTAACAGTACTAAAATAAAAAAATAAAGAAGTTGTGACGTGGCACTTAACTGATCTTCAGTGTTGCTAGCTCCAATAAATGGGTGTTAGGTAATTTTAAAATGAATTGTTTTAAAACTTAGCGGAGGATTTTTATCACTTATAATAAAACAATAGTGTTTTTGCTTTTACTTATATGCAATGAGTACAGTTTAAAAAAGGGATGGTGACCAGACAGTTCAACATCAAATAGGCAGATAATCGTCCCTTTTTTACGCTCCAAGTTCGGCCGCGATTATAAGAGGTGGCATGGTACACAATGCGTGTAATTTTACATAGAATTTAATATATGTTTATTTTTCTCAGATTAACTTCCAAGATCATACGAAGATCATTTTGTGCCCACTTATGCAAGCCGTCACCTACATCGACATTGAAAAGAACTTCCGGACTTTCCGCTTTAGTACAATTGAAGAGCACGGGTGCGACAAAAAGCTTTACACCAACCTAACCTACGCGCTAGAGAAACTCAACAGTGTGCTAGCCAACAAACTTTGCTAGCCTGAGCACCTGTGATTGCTTGCCTCATGTACCAATGAAATGAATTTAATATTATCTAGAATTAGCTATCTCTGTGCGGATGATTGAGGACCAAAGTGTAACTATATTTTTAGTGCACTCCTTAGTAGGTTGATTTTATCAGTGCGTAATGTATATTTTGAAACGCGGTAGATTTGCAAGAATTCAAATTGCAAAAGTCATTAATCAGCATTTTTATAGTGGCATCATTAAATATCTGTTCTCGATAAAATGGATGATCCTTCTTGAGTTTAGATATTGACCCAGGAAAGTAGTCGAAATTTTAAAAATATGTAGAAAATAGTCAATATCTTGTTAACGAAAATATGTTTATGGTTTGTATTTATTAACTACCAGCACGTAAAAAGGAAATGTGTTAAAATATGGCAAATCCATTAACAAAACCAAATTCTGTTGATAATTTGAAAGCAATATTTTAACACCAGTTCAATTAATTGGTTTGCACACTGAACTTTATTCTCTGAAATAAAAAAAATCTGGCATAATTAATGTATTAAAAATTAAATATTTACCCCCTCAAATCAAGCTATATTTATATGGGCTGATGTTGTAATTAGTTTTTTTTTTTCTGCAAGCTTGTAGTATAACATGAAAAAAACATAGTTTGAATATTCTAAATAAATATAAACACCACTTAAAAATATCTAAACCCTTTTTATTCTGTTGTTGGTGATCATTATAATCAACATTTTGAAAATGTCCATACCTTAATTAATTTAATATAAAACCAAGTCATTAACGACCAGAACTCGCAAACTATTTAAAAATCTTGATAGTCAATTGGATACTTGAAATTCAATATAACATACATGTCTTGGATTTAAAATTAATTAATATTCATAAATCATAACAGAGGCATTTCCATTTCTACAAACACTAAATTGTAGTGACAATTTCTCTGAACGTTATTTATATAATTTAAAATTTGTAAATGTATTCTTTGTAAATTAATATAAAATTGGATATGTAGTTCATTAGATTTGACAACATTTTCTTTGAGTAGCTGTAACCTTTACATTTATTCTTTATTACCTTATATCTCAAAAATTTGTCCAAAGCAGCTTTTATTTTAAGCACCTTGTTCATTTTTTGCAAAAATATTCTATATTGATACTGTTAAAACAATAAAATATCCAACAAAATGTATGTGTTCAAACTTAGGTTATTTAAAGTTATGCCTAGCACAATTTAAATTAGTGTAATATAAAACACATTAGAGCAATGTTTTTCAGTTTCGCGAAACTTTAAATAAAATCAAAAATTCTTAGCAATACTCACAACGCACTAACAATATTTTGATTACATTAAAGTTGTGTGATTGACACCTCAATGCATTTATAAATTGTTAAACTAAACATATTCACATTTTATTCATGTGCCTTCGAATTATTTACATTTGTTTAGATAAAACAATTTAGTTGTACTTGACCATTATTGAGGGAAAGGGTAAGCAATGCACCATGACTGATTGGGCCAGGTGCAGGCAGAATTGTAATCATTTTGAATTCTTTATTTAGTTTTGTAGCTATATTTTTATAACAGTTGTTTCAGTGCTTCAGTAACATTTAGAAGTACCACACATTCACAGGTTTCTTTTTTGACAATAGTCTCTTTCTTATAATGCATAATACATTATAGAGAACATTCAATATTATATACCGTCTTTATAATGTCAAAAGTATCTATCATTATGTCCACAAAATCAGTATTATAAATACAACTCTTGAAGCACACATATTTAACTTAAAAAGTTTGTCAGAGGTCTTTACCTCGTGTAAACAAACATTGGACAATAAACTTTTTAATTATAATAAAAACTTTTTTTTCATCCTTTCTTTTCATTCATTGCGTTTGGGCTAAGCGTAAATAATTTTCGTTTGTACGAGGGTATGGTTGATTTTACATTAGTAAGTAGTGGCACAAACTATGAGTGCTAAACTTCATATACGCAGTAAACATTTTGTCTGCCTAAAAGTAAGGTAAAACGCGCGTGGTTGTCGACAAGTTAGTAGTCTTTTCAGTAGTCTTTATTAAGATTTTGGCTTGGATACTTGTCCTTTAAGCCATGACTTCATTTATTTCAGTATGTGATAATAATCCTTTACAGTACCTGCTTCACACATTATGTTGATGCGTCACATAGCGTAGTTTTTTGGAGATTTTGACGGCAACTTGAGCCAGCAGACAGTTGTCGATAGAATCTCAAGGCGCCTAAGCAGACACACCTTATCTTGAGATTCACATCACCATCAGAGCACTTGTTTCACCGTTTCCACTAATAGTTCACATGCGCAGACATTTAATACACAAAATCGCACCACTTATATATCAAAATCCACTTCAAAATACTATTTAAACAATAATACAGAAGCACAAATACGCCGCCGCGCCGGTCAAGTTCCCGCCAAAACTCATTTAGTCGGTGATTCATTGTCAGAAACTGTTGAATGAACAAGTGACTAAAATTGTAAGTATTCTCCTTTAAAACCATGTAATCCCAAAATGTCTCGTTTGCCTATCCATCTACCTATATATATTATATAGTGGTTAAAATTAATTCTGCAAAACCTAACTTCAAAATTGTCCAGTGCTAAAAATATATGCTAGTTTTATTCTACATTGAACTGAAAATTACAAAATTTATTTGGTGATTACGCATCTAGGCGCCTTTTTACTCATTCAAAGATATGTGTGGCTAAAATATTTTATTATATTCTAATTCTCATTGATTTACGTACCAAATACATGACCACACTTTGAATTGACTTTTATCCTTTTCGACGACACTATAGAAGTTCAACTTTGTCGTGCCTTACTTTGTAGGTCTTAAAACACTCAATATATATTTCAATCAAGTAAAAACCTGTATTGTTATAATCTATTAAGATACTCTTCAACGCCATAGCTTGGCGTTGAAATGGTTAAAATAAAGTTGGTTATTATAAATAATTCATTCATACTTTAGGAACCAACACTATATTTATCTACATTTTAAAAATAATATAATATTAACATCACAAAACACCGCGTGTGGCTAGTGGAATAAAATTAAATAATTATGTGAGTTTAAACTAATATACAATGTAGTAAACATTACAATTCTGTATGAATAGCATGCTGGTGGGGCATCAGTTCACCCGGGTGAATAAACAGTCCTTCTTTCGCCTGCCAGACTGTGTATGTACCATATTGTGAGCTGACACCTACAATTTCTCCTTGACCATTTATCGGCCGGCCAAATGTTCTTCCTGATCCAGCAAGGTATCTGAAAATAAAAAGTGTTATAGTATTAATGCTATGTATAAGACTCCTAATGCAATACAAAGCTATTCTACTGTATAACCGTTTTTTGGTGATGTTTGGCTGTTTGTTAAGGCTATTACTGCTACATCGAACATTGTTCGATGATCATGTATGGTTTTATTTGTATAGTGAAATTTTGGATAATTTGGAAACATACATAATATATATAAACCATATAGTACCAAACCTCTGATCCAGTCCAAAAACTAAGCTTATAAATGATTAACCTACTCGCTTCGAGCAAATTGCGGTCCACCATAACATTTACGAACGAACGACATTTCGGAAATCTGAATTTTCCTGAGAACAAATAACTAAAGCATACTATCAAAGTATTGCCCCCCTCGAGTGACAGACGAAACAACTTTGAAGCACTTATGTCGACACAACTTATGAAGTTTTAAACAACTCAGCACTTGGGAGCAAAAGGATTTTTGAGGGGACATTTATAACTGTATATTTTAGAAAAAATATATGGTTTATTGACATTTTTAATAAAAGTCGTAAAATTATTATTAAGTTGGTACATTGAACTCTCGATAATTTGAAACTGAAGAGACCAGACAACAATTTTAAATTACCAAGAGTTCAAAATAATAAGATCAGATAACCAAGAGGGAGGGAGGAAGGAAAAAATCAAGTAAACAAGAGTGATCAAAATTCGTGATTTATCATTTTAAACATTTGTACAAATGTTCATTTTGAAAAGAAGTCTTTCTCATTTATGTAAACAATCGACAGGTCTGTATATGTATGTAAACAAACGACAGGTCTGTGCAGGGGCGGACCGAGAATTTGTGGAACCCTGGGCTATCACTACTTGGGACCTACCAATTTAATCAAACTATATTAGCCACGTCGTTAAAAAACTGTTTTCTATAATGATGTATACAGTCTGGAAAAAATTAGAACAATTATTTAATATGACTTAGATACACAAATAGCAACTGTAAGACATTATTGCAAAATAAATGAATAAGTTGTGTGTAGTCATGTTAAATAAATAATAAAAACTAATCAACATTTTCCACTGCAAATTCCTTTATTTGCTCATCACACTGTAAGTCCTTCGTTAAATCACAATTTATGGAAAGAACTGATAAATTATTTAGTCGGTTGTTAAACATTTTTGTCTTATATTTGTTTTCTATGTATGATATCTTGGAGAAAGAGCGCTACGCTTCACAGCTAGTGCTTGAAAACTTTAAAACCAGCAAGATCAATAATGTTTAAAAAAATTACTATTAACCCTCATTACATGATTAAGTAAGAAATTAAGTGTTTTAATATAAAGTTTTGAAATTTTAAGCTAGAATAGTCACTAACCAACTTTAAATCGTTATAGATCCTAAATGGTCAATCAAAATAAATAATTACTGAAGAAACCTAGATATGATTTTCAAAGACCTAATTAATGATACCCCACTTGACATAGTTCATCGACTTTTTTTTCTAAGTGACTGGTTGTCACCATAACGCTCACAAGATTAAGACAAATCGATTGACATAAGAATCGCCAAAAGTAGTCCACGTGTTTGGTCTCCAGAGTGCTACAAAGGAACAAACATACACATGTACATGGAAACGTACATATAGATACTGATAAACACATTACCCTCCGCAGTGGGTTAAAAATCTATAAGATAGTAAAGCGATTTGGGAAAACATCAACAAATTCAAATTCTTTATTCCATAACTTAATCTATTACATCAAATTGTGGTTGGAGCTTCCTTTTAGGCAAAGGATTTGCTTGTACTAGGAAGCACCGCTCTTCAAAACAATGGGTATATAACATTAAGTTGAGATGAAGACTAATAGAAAGTTTGTTATTAAATTATTATTAAAGTATAAAAAAAAATTCAAACAATGAGTTTAGGTTTACAAATATGGTGTGTGTGTGTGTATGTGCGCATGTGTGTGCAAGCTTCTTTTTATTAATTAGCATAAACATTTCACTGCAAAAGGTGTAAGACTAGATTAGATTTTAGTAACATTTTAACCGAATGCATTCATTCACTAAGTGTTGGTCTACGTCATCTGGATAATAATAAATATTTCTATGTTTTCCATATTATTGTTTAGCATATCCATTAAAAATTTGAATTTCTTACTATGTTTTATAGACTTGGCTTCTCCTATTTAAATTTAAAATTCAAACCAGCTTATCCAAGCAATGTTTTAAATTTTTCTGCCTCGTAAACTGAGACATTATCGAAAATTTTTTGAAGCAATCCGTCTCTTGTTTATATCACTATATTCCGCTACCACACTAATATTTAAATCTTAAACTTTTTCCTCTTCTATCTTTAATTTCTGGTCCAATTGGTATCGTATGTTGCTCAGAACTCTTGATATGTTGCCTTCACAAATATCCTCTCTAAAATTTCTTCACGAAAAGTAGTATTGAGTTTCGTCACTTTATTAAATAAAAAAAAACTTTCTCATTATCATTTCCAATAAAAATGTGAAATTTTTACATCATCATAATAATTTTTGAAGCTTTGACAGCTATTGTCTTCAATGGGGGCTGGGAGACTTTTATATCTACGGGGCCTTGGACTGCAGCCCAAAACGCCCTTATATAAATCCACCCGTAGGTCTGTGCATGATAAACGCTTCAAATTATCGAAATGGATTTTATCAAAACAAATACTTTAGTTTAGTAGTTTAGTTTAGTTTACGACGGGCTGTTTTCCGCAACTCCACGTCTATGCGCGTATTTTGCGTGTGGGCAGGAATAATGTGATTATTCGAGCCATGAGATCTCTCCGAAGAAGCTCAACAGGCCCTTGATGTTGCATGCAACTTCGGGGAGTGATCCCGGCGTGCCGAGATGTTTAGCCCTGTATGTAGCGACCTCCGGACATTTCAGTAGCACGTGGGCCGCCGTTTCTTCCTCCCCCATACATGCCCTGCACAGGGGACTATCTGTAACACCTATAGTAAATAAATGTTTGTTAAAGGTGCCGTGTCCTGTGATAGCACTTGTTACTATCCTAATCTGCGGCTTGTTCAGTCTCATTAAAACTTTTGTTAAGCGACTGTTAATTTCAGGCAGGGCATCCCTAGCTTGTCTACAGTCTACTAGATTTTTCCAAAGCTGAGCGTGTTGATTAGTAAAGTGTCTACGTACCAGTGAACAAACGTTACCAAAGGTTACAAACTTATATAAATCCACCCGTAGGTCTGTGCATGATAAACGCTTCAAATTATCGAAATGGATTTTATCAAAACAAATACTTTACTTAGATAAGTTTAGTGTTTTGAGTTTATTCAAGAAACTAAATGCAAGAAATTAATGCAATTTTTAAATTAAATAGGTCTCAAAACACAAGTTTAATGTTTGATGACCATACTAAATTTTTTTGTTGAAAATTTTGGATAAAATTAATTATGAATTCTTTCCAGTATGCATAAGTTCCCATTTTTATATCCCCTTAATAAATCATTCCATCAGTGTTATTCTTTGGATGATAATTACAGAAGTAACAAAAAAATTACTTACGCTGCAGTATCAACATGTCTCAGCTTTACAGGTGTGTCTCTTCTCCAATAATCGTTATTACAAACAACAGTCCAGTTGTCACCACTGTCTCCTTCACCATCCTCATCACCATAACAAGATACTTCTTGGTTTCCCGATAATGGTGATGAGAAGTAATGGGAGTGTAGATTCTTTTTGGTCCCTACATGCTGAAGTCGAATGTTTGTATTACATTTTATAGGTTCTCTGAAAAATAAATAAAGCATGATAATAAATGAAAACTATGCTCATAATCATATACATGGTAGAGCCATACTGTAACTTTATTATACTTGTAGCACAAATGAGTTGGCTTGACCGGGGAAGGACTGCATTCTTATAGAATACTAGCATAAAATAGCAAGAAATGTGACATTCAGTCTTAATCCTCAGGGTTGACAAGGCATTTGTATTTTGATTCTTAATCGAGGATAGATGTATCAATCGAAGATGGTGGACTGTTTGCTCGTTCGTCATCATTATTCCATAAAATAAGTAAATAATTAATATTTGGAGCAAAAAAAGGTTGTATTATATCTACTATATATACACTAGCCACCTATACCAGTTTAACACGTTAACTGTCCCCATACAGAATTTTTCGATAACCTCATATGTCCAAATCAGTTTTTGTATTATTCTGTATCAAATTGATTCAAAATGACTAATTTTTGAAAGTTAGCCTACATAAGTCACTAATTATCCGGTTTTTCTTACCTTTTCATTGTGTACCGTATTCGGTACACGGACTTATCGAGTTGAAATAGCGAGTAAACTTAGCGTGTACTGTGGACTTGTGAACGCCGAGTATTTAAAAAAAAAGTTGTTCGATGCATATTCTTGTTTATGGTAATCATTTGACATTGATACCACATAAAAAAGTGACATCTCAACTTCAAAACTTTAAAATTTTTGGCCGTTAGTGCGCCAATCGTTACTATATCGTATCGTATACGAAGACGTTGCGTTGGGTGCTATAAAAAACTTATTGACCTTGGAAGTCTTCCAAAAACTGCAAGAGCAAAAGCTAAAAGAGTGACAACGCACTGTAATACATGTAAAAAAACTTATTGTCTCCAATGTTTTTCTGAAATTCTATTGCATAAATAAAGCCATTTTCTTATTGAACACTTTATTTTTATTTTTTCAACCACCCACATATAGAAAAAAATATATGAAATGTTTTAGGTTTTTTCTTTTTATTAGTGCTCTGTTGACAAGTCCTGACAAATAGAGCAAAGTAACTGAGAAGTCCATGAAGTTAGAGCTCATAGAAAGAGACAAGGGCGCGTGTACCGTTTACGGTACACGGACGTGACGAACCCATGCGGCGTGTACTGTATTCGGTACACTGGACAGTTAACGTGTTAATATGTCATTTGGAAACAGTATTTTAATCGTAATAATAATTATCGTATTCTGTTTCTGAGCCATGTTTTTTAGTTATATATGTATATATATTATGTTGTGTTAGTTTAGTGATAGCATTAAGAAACAGGTGTCTTAATCAAGTTTACATTTTGTCATAATTCACTGTGATCATGTTATATATCATCTTTTAATCTACTTTATATTGAAAAGGTATCTTTGGAAAAAGGTTATTGTTACTATAATGAATAAATAATATGCCATAAAGCAAAGCTGGTAACTTTATATATTATGTAAATAAAATTATAAATCAAATACGAGAGGGATTCAAAAATATTGAGAATGCAAATGAAATCAAAAAGAAACCTAGACAAGTGCAACTAGTAAGTACTTGTTGCACATTGAATGTTCTGCTGCTGGCTTTACTTTATTAAATTGTTATCTGCTTTTACTTTATTAAAGAAATAACAAACTACAGAACCTCCTCCAGGTCCTTCAAAAGTCATTGCAAAGGCAAAGTTCTGACTTTTAGCACATTGGCAGAATTGGCTAGAAACTAGTTCGCCTTCTTTAGAAGCTCCTTTCCTATGGGCTTCCTGAGAAATTGTGCAATTGGATTACCAGCTTTCTTGCAGATCAAAGTCTTTGTAGACGGTGCATGCTCCGACTACAAGCCTATTAATGCTAGTGTTCCATGCACCATCAGGTGAGCCATATGCTCGTTTACAAAATATCTCTTCTCTCCTATAAAAAAAAGAAAAGAAATGTGCTTCATTTGTACTTAACGAGAAGCTACCCTACTAGTGCTTTCAACTTTAACATTATTTCTCATTAATTTAATCAAAATGTTATGATTAAACTTGCGAAAGCTATGTATTCCTTGGTAATTAATTTACAAAATACTCTATAAAATAACTGAGTATAATAAGCAGTACCTAAAATTATTAAATAATCTAATAGTAATAAAATTGATTCTTTGCTTAGGTACCCATTTTTTTGTTAAAGAGTTTATAACAAATCAAGCCTGCACCCTGCCTCAATCCCCACACATCCCCTAGTGACCACTCACCATTCCTGTGTTCCCTAGTTCTAATGACATCTTAGCTTTCATGCGCCTAATTGCTTTGGTCACATGGTACAGGCACACTTCAAGTATAAAAAAAATTACTTAATATATGTTTGTTTGCATTATATAAAATAATACAAAATGATTCCCCAAAATACATAAATTCTGGGGCAATCCAGTTAAAACAAGGTTTACATTTACATTATGGCCATTTGTAATTTACAAGTGCCAAAATATGTATACATAAAATAGATAAACCAAAAAGCCAATGGCCTGCAGTCTTTAAGTAACTAGTTACATGTACCTACAATATGAGAACTCACCCTCGTTTGCAAGTCTCCCCCATAGCTGGCCTCACAAGCCAATGACTATTGTTATCGTCGGATACGTCTACAGCAGTAACAGATTGCTGTCCAGAACCTGAACCGTATTTAACATCATGAGAGTGAAGTCGCAACCTCAAGTCCGTATTTATTAATTTTAAAATTGTACCGCAAGTTACAAATTCGGCTTTGGAACCTAAAATACAGAGTAAAATGTTATTATTAATTTTTATTTGTATTCAATTCATAAAATACGATAAATATACATAATATCCTCCCATATCATAGGGCCACGTAAGTGTAATATAATAAACGTGTATTAGTACAACAGTTCTTAACTGTGAATTTAAACAAAATGAACGTAATAATCCAACTACATACGAACCGTTAGATATTTGCATTAAATATAAAGACATAAATAGCAAAACTTGAATTAATTTGTACATTTTGGGATAAGACATGATTGAAAAGTAACAACTAATGTACTCTGTGGTAACAACTAAACCTGCTCAATGTATTTGTACAAGTTACAAGTTCCGAAATCTAATGTCAAATGCGAATGTCAATGTCAATTGTCAATTGTTTTTTTTTTGGAGTTTATGGCCTGGTATCTAGACCTTTAGGCCAAGTCTTAAGTATTTTTATTCGGTTTATTGTAATTTCCCCACTCCTTCATAGTATACTGCTTCACAATATGTTGATGCGTCACATTGTGCAGTTCTTGGGAGATTTTGGCGGCAACTTGATCCAGCAGACAGCTGATAGTTGGCGATGGTATCTAAAGGTGCCTATGCAAACAAACAGCTTATCTTGAGAATCCATCACCATCAGAGCACTTGTTTCACTGTTTCCACTAATAGTTCACATGCGTAGACACTTAATACACAAAATCGCAACACTTTTACATATCAAAGTCCACTTCAAACCATTATTTAAACAATAATACAGGAGCAGCAAACCGCCGCCGGTCAATTTCCCGCCAAAACTCCTGTCAATTGTTATCATTGTTCAAACCATAGAGATATATACATATGGAGAGGGCATATTCCACTATAGAAATAATATTTATGCAAATATCTATAATATCGACACACACTTGTCAAAAATAGTTTTGTCTCTTTTTAACAAAGCAGTAGCTGCAATAGAAAAAAGAGACATCTACAGTTTGTAAAGTGCTTATTTTGGTAATACTTTCGTGTGACGTCATTAGCTCATCCGTGCGTGACTGCGCCACCATGTTAAGTGCCAAGTTTTGAGGTAGATCTGCTGTCAAACTGTCAAAAAAGCAGTGAAATAGTATCGTACACTCTTAACTATGATGTCGATAGAAATTATTTTAATGAATTAATATTGTTCAGAAATGAATATATAATAATAATATTAGTTTATAAATCCTGGATATCAAATTTCATCCACCGTTCCATGATCATTAATGTACCTGCGAAAATAATCATATTTTTCGTTTAAAATCTGAATAAAAAAATTAAATATGATATCCGGCAGGACCGAACATGCTTATATAGCTTAGCATTTGTGATAAATTATGTGCAGAACGTTCCTATATACCAATTAATAATAAATAAGTATTGATTTTAAAAACAGTTTATTTAATTTTTACTCAACTAATCAATATTGTTTTATATTAAAAATACTATAATATGGGATTACAATATGGAATCAAGTATCTCCATCCCATCTCCATACATTTGTTTACTGTACAATATTATTATACAGTAAACAAAGGTATTTGGTATACAACCAAAAATATTCATTTTCCCACTACTCGGTCAATATTCGCTTTTATTGTGTGCGTTATATTTTTTTAACTTTGTTGACATTGATATAAAACAAAACGTGTGTGTGTGTGTGTGTGTGTATGTGTGTGTGTGTGTACTTATGTACGCACGTAAGAAGTTATACTTCTTTAGCGTAACAAAACAAAAATAACTAAAATAAAACACGTTTTATACATTCATATATATTAGAATAACTACCTCGAATATAGTTATCAGTTCTCACGAAAACTTAACAATTGACAGACAATTACCAATTGAAGTTGTAAAAAATTCACTCTCATCATTTTTCTCAAACGCGCCAAAAGAAGTATAACTTCAAAACTTGAGTAAGCACTTAGCACACTCAGAACATTGTTTAAAACAAGTTGCAAGTTAGCTGCCTGCATATTTAACTCATTGTTTGACTGTATACCTAACACAAAAAAATCTGTAGCAGTGTGCATTGCGTAAGTGTACATATGCGGTGAAGCCTTGTGAAGCAGCTCAAACGAAATTTAAGGGATAGCAATCCAAAACTAATTTAACAACCCAACAATATCCATTGCTTCATTTGATTGAAAAATTCGTTTGCTCGACAACAAAAACCACGCAATGGATGTTGTTAAACTGTCAAAATGATATGGTTTGCCATTTTAGGTGTGTTACGCAATTGGGCTATGGATTTAATTTCTATAATTATATGAAATAAGAACAAACTCATATTAGTAAAATATCGATATCAGCTGCCCATATTACTGAGTTACAACCCTATAAAAGGCGGCCATTTTATGCGCCAGATGTGTTAAGGTAGTCACGCTAATTCTGTAGGTATGCCCAGTCCATATACTACTAAGTCAGTGGTTCAAACCATAGATAAATAAATATGTAGTATGGAGTGTAGAGTAGAAGGAGAACCATCTTATAAGGTGTGAAAGTTGAAAAAGTGTCCCAATATATACTGAAAATAGAGGTTCCAAAACCTACCACAATAGCGCTGGCGTCTGAAAAACTACGATATGAATATAGCTGTTGTAGACGGAGTGAAGTCAGCTGAATTAAAATATTTAAAAAATTTCGTGACTAGAGTAGTTAGTAAAATGCCAGTATACAAAACCTCAACTATTTACGTAGTACAAAACCAAGCGGATTGGTCAGTCCTTGTTTATTTCTCCATGTTATTGTAATGAATTTTGGCGCTTTTTTTTAAATTTATCCTATGCTACTGCAGCACCACCCTTATTGGACGCGTTTTTTGGGACACTTTTCATATACAGAGATGGTCCTCCTTCTACTCTACACTCCATATTATGTAGCAAGCTAGTTCAAACTATGATTGTTGTCTATGGTCATAGATAGAGGCTTACTAGTTTGTGGATAGAGGATTGACCCCTGGTATACAGTAATCTGTGATTGACGCTATGGTTGTTGCTGTTGTTACATTCGCCAGTTGAGGCAGGTAAAGGACTTAGACCATACAGCTATATTTGTATTTTTTTTTTCCACCAAACTGTTCACAATTTGTTGATGCGTCAAATTGCTAAGTTCTTGGGAGATTTTCTCGACAGTTTAACCCAGCGGATAGTAGATGACGATAATAGTTTAAGGCCCCTAAGCGGCTAAGAAAACCTGAGACGTATATCACCATTAACACATTTTTATATTGTAATTCGTATGTGTAGACATTTCAAACACAAAATCGCACCACATTCGATCAAACTTTTATTTAAACGATAAAATAGGCGCAACGATCCGTCGGTGGTCAAGTTCCCGGCAAAACTTTTCAAACCAAGCACATCATTAGCATTAGCATCATGAAGCTAATACAAAGGGGAGACGGCATAAGCAACTGTGCACTGTGATTCTAAGTAGGTCTTGACGTCATCATAGTCGGCGTGGCTTTAGTTAGTATACTGTCAGCATTCGTCATGTGCACTTATGTGTTGACAAAATCGCAAATCGGTGTATTTTCGTAGTATTAAGAAGAAAAGGATGAAGTGTTGTGTTTTATTGTGTAAAAACTACTCAGATAGACGCTCTGATGTTATGGATGGCATCACATTTCATTTGTAAATAATTTTACACCTAATTTAATAAAATAGTTCTAGAAAAATCTCTTTGCGTCGGCTTTCAAATATAATTAAATATATTCGACACTAGATGGCGACACTTTGTGTCATGTCAACTAAAAATATTAAGGTCCGTAGAGCTCAGTATTGGTAAACTCTGTCTGACATAGGGTAGTACAGCAGGCACACGCTCGACTGTGGCTGGCTTCACTCGGTCACTGTGACGTAGGCGCGGGACCCGAAGCTTGTTGTCTTGCAGTACTAGCTCGACGTGCTGAAGCTCGGCGGCCAGATGTTTTCTGTCACAGATCCCTCGTGCTCTCTGAAACAAAGATTTTCCCACGGTAGCTAACTGTGAAGGATGATGGTGCGATTTATCATCTAAATATCGGTTGGTATGGGTATTTTTTTTTCTGTACACAGTATGACCAATAGTGTTATCAGGATTTCGGATGACTAAAACATCTAGGAAAGCTAAAGTATTGTTTGCCTTAACTCCATTGTGAATTGTATTTTAGGGTTTATGGAATTAGGGTGGTTTAAAAATACAGTTACTTTGTCAGATGGTAAAATTGTGAAAGTATCGTCTACGTACCGCTTGTAGAATCTTGGATTTACTTTATAAACTTTTAGATCTTTATTAATTACAGAATTCATTAAGTTTTACCGCTCATCTTTTAATTGTGAAGATGATGTTAGTGCAAAATTATTAAAAAATAATGAGCCTGTTTAAAGGACATGAAAGGGAAGTAAGTAGTGAAAGTGGTGAAACTGGTAAATGTCATATTGTAAACAAAATTATTGTAAAGTAAATATTAATAATTAATAAAAAAATGATAAATTTCAACATTGTTTTGTTTGTATTTACCTCGTTTTATTTTTAATATAATAAAATAAATTTTTCAAGTGGCTATTATTTGGGACGTCCTTTGCCTGGTATAGTTGCTTCAATAAAAAAAAAGAAATGTCAAATATCATTTTGCTACAATCAATCAGGGCGCAGAAGCTAAATCGAGTAAGTTTAGTTCGTGAGATGTCCGTCTGATTCGGTTAGAATCTACTAGATAGTCTGTGGACTCGAGTTGAAATTCACACAACTCGAGTTTAAACTTGAGTTAAGCAACCCGAGTCAGCAGTACGAAACAGAGTAAATGATTTGTTACAAATTACTTTTTTATAAGTTTGTTTTTCTATCTTATGTATTTTTAGTTTTAATCTTAATTATAGTAAGTACCTGTATTTAACAACAAAACTAGCTATATAGCAGTCTTCACAAAACAATATTAGTTTAGCTTTAAGATGTAGGTACATAAGTTATTAATAGCGTAATTATCACCGTCAAGATATTCTTAAATATATTCAAATTTTCTCAAATTCAAAATATTTATAGTAACTTAAGTGTTAAAGTTGACATTTATTTAAAATATTATATTGTATCTTACAACTTAACTACCCCTTTCGAGTTTTACAATAATAGGTATGTGATTTACATAACTATATTGATCATAATTAATCAAAATGAAAAAAGAAATTAATTTACATAACTTAGCTATTATAAAACTCTAAATAACAAATTGTTTTGGTTATTGCTACATACATTTTGAAACAAAGCGCGTACACAGAAAACCGGCGTGAAGTAGAAGCTCTGCTTCTGCGTTTTGTTTGGTGAGTGCAGGTGGCCGG